AGTCTCTCTGTGTATGGTGCAGATTTCCTCTGGTAAGCTGTGTGTGCCCAGATGTCATCATGACAGTAACTACCCTTTGTTTTCACAGTAAGGTCCCTTAAGTACGTCTCATAACACTGGTTGTCAGGTGATCTGTCCTCTCTGTTATTAGCTGGGTGATGTTTCTGGGTGAAGTTCTCAGGGCAAGGCTTTCTCCTCCCATTATTTTGAAAGTATCGTCCCATTCTCTTGCAGTGAAGCAACCTAGACTCTTCTCTTGCTAGTTTTTTTTTTTAAGATTTATTTATTTGTTTTATGTATATGAGTGCACTATAGCTGTCTTCAGACACACCAGAAGAGGGCATCAGATCCCATTACAGATGGTTGGGAGCTACCATGTGGTTGCTGGGAATTGAACTCAGGACCTCTGGAAGAGCAGTCGGTGACCTTCACCACTAGCTATTTTCAGGTTCTTTGTCATGTCCTCTTGTTATTTTGACTGTAATATGCTTTGGTGCGGGTCTGTTTTGGTTGGATCTGTTGTCCTTTGAGCTTCCAGAATCTGGATGTCCATGTGTCCTAAAGATTTGAGAGCTTTGGGGACATTTTTCCATAAAAACATCTTTCAGCATCTTTCCTACTTTATTCAGTTCCTGTGATGCAAGGGTGTTATTCCAGTGGTTTCCCATGTGTTTCCTAGAGCTTCTTCATTCTTGTACGATGTTTTTGTCTGACTGAGTGACTTCTGAGAAGATCTGTCCTCAAACCCTGAAACGTCTTCTTCCGCCTGGTATGGAGCTTCCTGTGTATCTTTCATGTCACTGATTGAAGTTTTTACTCCCAAGCTTTCTGGTTGGTCCTTTCCTGTCATTGGTCCTTGATGAACTCCTCATTCTCATCCTGAGTCTTCTCATTTCCTTGTTCCGCTTCTCTCGTTCATGCCTTGCTGGCTTTCCTTAGGGTTGCTGCTTAGGTTTTTTGTGGTTGGTGTTGTTGTTGTGTGTTCATTTGTCTGGCTTGGGGCATTTTATAGGTCTCGTTTGCACAGATCTATTTCTGGATAGTATTTTTCCTTGCGAGCACCATGTTCCCTTTTCATGTTTCTTGTGTCTTGATAACGTCTATACATCTGATGTAAAATTCTATTTCTTCACGTTTTATAAATAGCTTTTATAGGAAAAGATATTTGTTTAGATGAAATGTAAGAAAGACATCAGTTAGATGGGTTCTTTTGAATTTGGTGATAGTAGATTCTAAAGCAATCTTTTTATTTTTTTCCTTTGATTGATGTCAGCAGTGTCTATGTTATGAGGGGTCATGACACAGGCTTCTGTATGTGTCTGGGGACTACAGAGTTCATCCTTGAGTACACAGAGGCAGCTTCCATAGCTTTGGTGGTGTGGGATGTGGGGAGGAAAGGACACTGACTGCAGCAGCAGCAGCAGCAGCAGCAGCAGCAACAGCAACAACAACAATGCTGCCTCTTCAGCCACAGCCCATAAAGGAAACCCTCCAGGATTCTCAGACTATGAGTGGGAGATGCTGGGCCTGATGTGGAACCATAGACTGGGCCTGGGCCTTCCCTGGCTCCACAAGATGAACACATGGGTACTAGCATCTAAGGTGCACACACCCAGCTTTCCAGCATTCCTTTTGTGAATTATTGAATCACATTTGTTTCCTACTCTCGGTCTCATTTGCCTGAGTCGAATACCAGGAGACTCTAGCACAAATCTGCCTCGATAATGCTTCCTTTGTCCTCTTATAGGTCATTGGCCAAAGTTTGCCTCTGATGTGTTCTTTGAAAGTGAAACCTATTATCCAACTTCTTTTTACTTTCTAATTTATTTGAAGAGTATACCCACCAGGAAGGTTCTGAAGCAGGCAGTTGAATACCTTTGTTTCAGCCTTATAAGAGCTGGGTCTGTTTGAAGGTGTTCATGCATGCTTGCCTTGGTCAGCAAGTGGCAAATTTGGAGCTCTGGGTGTCAAAAGAACTTCATTGGGACCCAGGTTATAGTCCATACAAGAAAAATAGATTTCTAGAGCTCAAGATGAGCAATGAATGTTCTACACAGAGAAGCTGCGTGACACTACCTCAGAGGAGGACTGACCACTAAAAGACATCATCCCAAGGAGTCAGCGGGCAGCTTTGCTCTGTTTCTCCTTTCAGTGCGGGTTGGAAGCAGTCTAATCAGCCACTTGTCCATGCCTCCCTTTGCTGGGTACCTAACTATTTCAAAGTCCTAAGCCTAGGCTCTTGTATGATAATGGAGACAGGATCCCTGCTGCTTAAGAGCTCTTGGGGAGTCAGGAAGTGCATGCTGATAAGAGCCTGATATGGATATCTCCTCAGAGGTCTTCAAGAGTCTGACATACTCAGAGGCAGATGCTCACAACTAGCCACTGAACTGATCATGGGGTTCTCAATAGAGGAGTTAGAGTGAAGACTGAAGGAGAGCTGAAAGGATTTGCGGCACCATGAGGAGAGCAACAATACCAACCAACCACAGCTCCCAGGGTCTAAATCACCAGCCTGGGAGCACTTAGGGGGGGATCCAGTGCTTCAGTTGAATATGTAAGAGTGGAGGGCCCTGCTGGGCATAGGTGGAAGAAAACCTTGACCGCATGAAGGCTGGATGCCCCAGGAGGTGGGAATTTTGAGGGTGGGGAGGGAGGTGGGAGTGAGGGGGGTAGATAGAGGTTACATCCACAGAGAAGAAGGAGGAGGGGTGAGGGGATTGGTGGTTCCGAGGGGGTGGTGGGGGATGGGGTAAGGGGACAACATAGGAAATGTAAATAAAACATCCAATAAAAAAAAAAGAGCTCTTGGGGATTAGGTACACACATAAACAAGTTTTAATACAAACTGCAGCATGTCTCACAGGGGAGAGACGAGCTGTGGTCAGCATCTCTGCCTCATGAGAGGCATGCTTCTGAACTGAGCATTGAATGTAGCAGGAGGCGAAGGGAAGATGTGGGTGAATGAAACATCTGAGCCTGTGCACAGACCAAGGGTGTCTGGGAGAAGTGGGCCTCTGAGAAGGTCAGTGTGAGTCCATGAAAGCTTTTATTAGGGGGTGACTCATGTCCTCCTCTTCCCTAGCATTCCCTGGGGGGCACCCAGCACTAACCATACCGAGCTTATTCTGTCCCCTCCCCACCCACCGTCCAGATAGACCGTCTTCCCACACCACAGAAGGACAGTTCGATGCCCACAGGGTGGTAAGGAATCTATTTGTAGAAGGAACATTTGGAGTAGAAAATAAAGAAAATAAAGAAATGGGAAATACGACACTGTCTCTTAGGTAGTTCCCTCTGAAGATGTCCATGGCCCTGGAAGTCAGCAGTTGGAGAAAACCCCACAGCAGCAGCTTCCCTGACTCAGCACACGCAGAGTCAGGGACAGAGAAAATTTCTTTGGGGAAAAGAATCAAGCCACAGATATCAAAAGAAGCTTTTTCAGTGTGAAAAACTGGGGAGATTTATGGCATTACATTCTTGTCCTTTCCCACCTTAATTTTGAGTCGGTCAAACAGTGCTAAATCAGTGAGCACCCAGCAGCTCTCTTGGGCACAGACTGGAAAATTCTTCATGCCTCTTTCTGAAACGTATGCAAGGCTGCTTTAATGTGGCCAGGAGCCTAGGCTACTTTATATCTGCTGTCACCCTATGCTTGTCCTCCTGGCTTGACTGTAGTGACAGGATGTCTCAGTGTCATCATGTAAGGGGCTCACGGGCCCTCAGCTCCCTGCGTAGAATCAAGTACTGTATTAGACTGGGGTCTCAGAACCTCTTAGCTGGATAGTATATTGCACAATGTCATCTTTTGGTGTTCCTGTATTTCTTGTAATTCAGACTTTCTAGAAAAGTTTTCCCCCAATTTTAGATAATGCCCACTGAAGTTCTCTTATCTGTTAGCATGCCCTAGTCCCTGCCACCAGCACCACTCAGCTGTTTGTGAAACATTCGATCTTCCTGTGCAAAGATATTTTACTGACCTCTCTGTGCCTTAACTCCCCCAAAAGGGCCAGCTGCAAAACGTCAGGTGTGTACTTTTGTTTGCCCAGGATTTGCCTTCCTGGCTCCCATTCTCCACCCGTCCTGGGAGAGCGCACCCTGCATAGTTCTTCTCATGGTATTTGTGGGCTCTCAGATGTCACACACAGCCAGGAAGCACCACATACTCGCTCCCCTCACTATGGAACTGGTAACCATCTCTGAGGCCCACCCAAACATCCCTCTCATCTCCCAAGATTCCAGGAGCTCACAGAACTTTCTGGTATCGAACGGGTTGTGTTTCCAGGCTTGTATTTGTCCCATTGCTTGCTTTTTTGGTCATTCATTCAGCACATATTTAACGGGGTACTAGCTGTGTTCTGTGTGCAAATCCGAGTTTTGTGTTCACGGCTCGTACCTGCCTGTGCCCACCTACAAAGGTACCACCACATCAACACAGAGACCATGCTACCCAGACCTGTTTCTCTAAGCCTTGTTTCTAAGCCTGACATTTGACAGAGGGTTTCTAAACCATGCTGACATGGTCCAAATGGTGTGGTTTGAATGTTGAACTTTCAGAGGCCCACAAATTAAGAGAGACAACAGATAGACTTGTGAGCAGACAAGAAAAACGCAATGGGTAATATCAGTTTTCAGTTTTCCATTCAGGTCATCTTGGGCAGGTGAGATTCAAACATTTGTATTCTAAGTATCTAACTTTCACTAAGAAAAAAATTAACATATTGTATAATATCCTTAAGGCTTTAAGTTTGATGCCTATTATAAGTCTGTATTTTCTTTAAAATATTAGCCTGAGGGAAGAAAAAGTCTCGAAGCTGTAAAACTCCTTTGAAGAGATGGAGTTGAAAGCTTGCATGGCCAGGCCTGCTCAGTGCAGTTGGCAATTCTTCTTTCCAAAACGGCTTCTCCCCACTGCAGTCCTCTCGGGCAGTTCCGCTCTGTGTGACTTGTTGCCACAGCTCGGATCCTCACTGCTGTCTGTCCCTCTTGCTGTGTTCCAGTCTCCGTCTCCTGGCAGTTCCTCACCCCTGGGTGCTGAGTCATCAAGCATACCCCTTCATCCCGGCGACCCCGCAGAGGCCTCCACAAATAAAGAGGTAAGGAGCCACCTTCAGTTCTCATGCCTGTTCTGCTCCACCCCCATAATGCTTTATCGTTTTCGCCTCCGCCCGCCCTGACAGAAACCACCCTGAGGAGAAGTATTTCTTCTCCTCTGCTATGTGCTTGCTGTGTGTTTGTCAACGAAAGCCATGGTTGATTTGCCCAGTTCGGTAGTCACGGGCCACAGCGTTGAATATAAGAATTCACAACCTTGGACGTACCACTTGCTCTCGTGTTCAGTGCTGTCTGCAGCTGGTTTCAGAACTTTTGTATCACAAGAAGTTCTACCACTGGACATTGAACCTCAAAACTATCTACCAGCATCTTTTCCAAAAGAACATTCTGTGATGAAGGAACAATCTACTTCTGTATTGTCAGGAATATTCACTAGCCTACAGTGCCCAGAGAGCCCTTGAAACATGGCCATAGGACTGGGGAACTTAAATTCTCATTTTATTCATAGGCTAGAGTCTACTCAACAAGGAGGTTCTAGGGTGTCCCCTGAGGACAAGTTGCCCTACTGGCAGAGGATACACTGAACCCAGATGGAGTTCTGCAGTGACAAATGCGGCTAAGATTTCTGGGCTCAAAAGGGGCAGGTGTTTTTCCCTGAACAGTGCCACTGCCTCCATTGGGACCCAGTGTTCTCCTACCCCAAGGTGATGGTTACTACTCAGTGGGGATCCATACTAGGTGGCTGTTTCCCTACACTATGTGGATACATGCCAGTCCAACTGCAGATGCTCCTTCATCAGCCCTGAGATGTGGCAGAGGTATGTCTCATGCTCCCTCGCTGTGCTAACAATGTTATGATGAATCAACTGGGAAAATCAAAGCATTATTTTAACCTGAGTAACAGATTGTTCGATGTGTGTAACTGGTGAGAGAGGGCTGTAGTTTGTATTAAAGTTTTCTTCAGGTGATACTAACATTAGACTAGAAATAGGTTTTGTCCCCTGGTCTATTCAGACTCTGCCTCTGGAGCCTGGGTGGCAGGGTCCTGGTTTCTACCTGCCCCTTTTGCCATTACTTGATACTCTATTCACAGTGCATGGATGTGTAGGAGGGAAGAAACAACTGCTGCAGGGCCAGCAACAGTAACGACGGTTCTAAGTTATCAGTCGTTTAGAGTATTCCAGGCACCAGGCTGAGCAAGTCATAGGCTGTATCTCTTAGGAGCCTTTTAATGGATCTGTCCTCACGTGTAAGTTCTGAAATTTAGAACTTGGATGCCTTAGCTGAGACTACACTGCTCAGCCATGGTTTGAATCCAGAAGTCCTGTAGGGCTCTAACCAGAGTTCATGTGACTCCTGAAAAACCTTGAAGTCTCAGCTTTAAATTTCATCTGTTGTTTTTGTTTTATCTGAGAAAGGTTATGTTGTTATGTACCCCAGGTTGTCCTTGAACTCAGAATCCTCTTGCCTCTTCTTGTCCAGTGCTGGAATTACAGGTGTTCCCCCACCACATCCAGCCTAGCTTTTCATGTATTAAATGCACCTTTATTAATGCTTTCTGATGTTCATCTCACTCCATATATGAGAAGGCACATCCAAGCAGGTGTCTGAATATTAAGCTTTCAATTATGCATCGGCTGTAGCAAGCAAGGTAAATGGGTTAGTCTCCCAGTTCCCATAGGCTTGGCCCATGGTTCTGCATATCTTTAGAAATAATGATGGGAATATTCATTGTATGCAATAGAGATTCTTTCGTTTTACAAAGCTGTCTTTTAAGTATTACCCCAGAAATGACATTGATCGTGAGCTAACAAATGGAGCGTGAGTGAATGTGAATGTACCAGTCGCCTACCCACATCTCTCTAAAGTAATTCTTCTGTATAGCTTCTGCTAAAACAGGTTTTAGCATTCAGAGAAGTGTCCTAGTAGCCCAAGAGAACCTAACCAGCTTTTTAAAGATACCTGGAGACTAAGCTGTTTGGATGAAGTGAAGTGACTTCTCGTTAGAACACTGAGAACAAGGGTATGGAGATGGATGGGAAATGAAGCCTTTGACCCCTGTGAAGAACTTAGCTGCTTCTGCATAGCATTGGTCTCTTAGCCATATACCTTGCCTCATATACAGCGCAGTTTTCCACAAATGCACTAGCAGCTAGGAGCTTTGGTCCTTGGTAGCCAAGAGACCCAATTTCTTTGGTACGAGGTACCATTTCATCCCAGTGAGCACATTTGCAGGGGCCTGCCCAGAGTTGCCCTGTGTGGTCTGCCACACAGTACCACACAGTGTGGAATTCCTGTCATTGTCCTGAATGATGAGATGCTCCAATTTTCCACATGAAACAATTAGCATGCCATGTTAGAGTCCCCTGCATGCTAAGAGTGACACCCTAGTCCTCACTTGTAGCCAGCTCATCTAACCCATTAGGTACCCCAGGCATGCCATCATCTGTGCCATCCCATCAGTGTACTGAACAGATGTCTGTCTCCAAAAAGCATATGTCAGAATGATCATGGTAAATCTTCAGAAATGAACATCTAAGCCATGTGAGCCCTACCTTTTGCCTGTCTTCGGTGCTTCCTTTTGAATACGAGCTGTCCTCAGATGCTCACACATTTCAGCTACAGGCTCTGCTACTATTTGACACAGAAATGAGTTCCCTGCTCTTCTTTCATGCAGAGCCATTTCTGGCATGTATGCTTCCAATGGAGCCTATGGAAAGCCTTGCTCCTTGGCATGCTGGCATTTAAACTTCCACCAGAGCCAGGTTCTAGGTGTCTAGCTCATCCGATCCAGCAGAGCTGTTAAGGCTGACCTCTGATACAAGATGACACTGGAAATTCAAGAACCAGAACCGATAGTGTTTTTCACCTGCCCTCTCATTCTTATTCTAAAGAAACACAAATTCATGGTTTACAGAACGGAAACTTTCAACCTAAATGAACCAGTGGGAGATAAAAATGTGTAAGAGTTTATCTTCCTTTCAGCAGCTACCTTTGTGTCAGGGACCTAAACAAACCATGCCAGGGAATCCTAATGTTCAGGGCACACAGTCATGTTATTGGTGCATTTGGTACTGAATGGTTTTCCACACTGAGTATATTCTTAAAATGTAAAGTACTTTATTACTGATTATACATTTTTAAAGCTGGTAAACACCTCTGAACTGTAGGGCATTTTGATCACTTTCAAACTTCAGTGGGCCATTCTGGGTCTTAGGTAACCATAGGAATAAATGCACATATGTATCCACTCTTCATTCTCTCTAATGAGAACTGGTCGATAACTGGTTAACAAATGCCACCAGTGATGTATTTCTTTTCTATGTTGCATGGACACTTGTGCAATGTATATTTAATCATGCTCTGCCCCCTTTGAAACTTCTTTGTCTTAATTACAGTCAAGAAAAAGCTTGGCTTCATTCCCAACGTACGTCGAAGGTAAGAACTGAAGAGAAAAATATTGAGTACTGGGGTCACTCATGAATCTTTTAGCAGTTGTAGGCACTGAATATAAAACAACATAGGGGGAAAGACCACAAACCTGCTAGCCCTAAGTATCTTAGACTAAAAGTACAGTAAGTGTGAATCCTTTGTTCTTGTCACAGATCAGGGGTAGAGGACAGGGGCAAGCCAAGTAGTAAAGCTATGCCCCAGGCATGTCATGAAAGCCCCAGGTATGTCATGAAAATCCTGACAAACTTTCCATGTCTATGTTTTGACCACAGTCATAGTTGTTGGAAAGTGAATAAGATGCTGGGCAGTGGTGGCACTTGCCTTTAATCCCAGCACCGGGGAGACAGAGACAGGCAGATCTCTGTGAGTTCAAGACCAGTCTGGTCTACACAGCAAGTTTCAGGACAGCCAGAGCTACAGAGAGAAACCCCATCTCAAAAGAAAAAGCCAAAGTGAATAAGTTAAGTTTGTACCCTGGCCAGGAGTTTGTCATGGGAGCAACTCAAGGTGAGCTTGGCCATTAAAAATGAAAATAAAAATCACTTCAGACTAGGCCTAGAAGAAGGAAAGTAAATTGTTTCCATTTCAAGTTATTTCATTTCTAGAGCCTGAGGCTTCACAGTGGATTATATCTTAGTCTCCTCAGAATTATCATTCAAGTCAAAGAAAGTGCATGTTTTACTTGTGCTTAAAATGTCTGTCTTTAGTAAACCTGTTATACATAATAGTTGCTGCCATGCTTTAATTTGGGCTGTGGATCATAGGTGATTGTTATTAAAATCAGATGCCCCTCTATTTAAAACAGAGATTTAATTTAGTAGACAGGGGAGTGAGAACAGAAAAAAATATAATTTTCCTTGGGATTGCTCTCTACGTGAAGCCAGGAGCATCATGGTCTATCAGCACTTTGGGCAGCATGGGACCATGACTCTGTGGTGATGTTATCAACTTACAATGTTGGAGTCTGATGCCTTTATAGGAAAGAAATACCCCCATTTTCTTCATGTATGAAATGTGATTCCTCCATCAGAGACCAAAGAGAGGGGAAAATTTTGAGTGGGTAAAAAGGAAGTAGGAGGTGTCAGGAAATGGTGGTTTCCATTATTACAGCTTTCTGTTCCTCTAAGCCATTCACCCAAACAAACACACAGTTTATAGAAACACGTGACAGGCATCAAAGTCAAAAATGAGTACGGCATGGCCTTTGTTGCCAGAGTGCTCATCCTCCAATCCCCAGTACTGTGTTGGGGGAGTGAGGAATTGTTTGACCTAAGGCCTCACACATGACAGGCAAGTGTCTAAGAGGCAAACGTTGAACAGACTGTCCAGCCTCCCAAGCAACTAGGATTACAGGCCTGGCTAAGAGCCTTTTTTACTGTTGGACTCTGGTTCATATTTAAATAAATACATCGTTTCTCCTAGTAAATGATTGATTCTAGGATGTCTTAGACTAGCAGGTGGACCACATATGTAACATGGGGGATTGGCATGTGGTAGCACCCCCATGACATTCACTACTGTGGCTCTATGTGTTACAGTTCCTGGACCTTGTGACCCTGAAGACTTGATCGATGGAATTATTTTTGCTGCCAATTACCTTGGTTCCACTCAGCTACTCTCAGACAAAACTCCCTCCAAAAATGTGCGCATGATGCAGGCCCAGGAAGCAGTCAGCCGGATCAAGGTGAGGGGGTCTGCGTGGTCTGAGGTGGTGGGGTAGCTGGGGGCACCTAAGCAGGCAACATCAACCCACAGCTCTTAGAGAGTGGACTAAGATGGTGCAAGCAGGGCTTAGTCCTGTCTAACTAAAAGCCTGAGTCTTGATATATAAACCCTATTCAGGTTTCTCTTGAGAGTAAATCCATATATATGGCCATGGACTTTGCCCTTTATGTGTCTAAGTCCCACCAATGGCTTCCCACTAACAACTAGAGGCCACTGATTGGAGCAATCCTCTGTTAGGTTCTATTCAAACTGTCTCAATTTTAGTAAGATGAACTATTTGATTAAATCTTACTTGGGTAGTCTGAAGAAGTCAGGCAAAGCCTAGTTTAAACTAGTTTGAACACAGTCACAATCCATTTAAATGAGTTTTATCAAGACCTAAAGGAGAAAGCCAATTGGATACATGGAGAAACAATTTCCTCTAGTCTCAATAATTCATGAGGAGATTGGGCTACTCAGAATCCTTCTGTAAATGCAGAACTCCAGAGTCTCCACCATAATGCCGCCTAGAGTTACAGACACACCAGGGTCGCAGGGATGCTGGCTGGGCACTCATGCTATCCAAAAGTCCCCGTACTGTCAGCAAGAGAAACACACTCAGAAAACCGGCAAGGTGAAAGGTTAGGATTCACCAGTTCATGTTTTTTTTCCTGGTTTCAACTAGTTAAGACTGAATCTTCTCTGCCCCCCTCCTCTGGTACCATAGAGCCGGGTGCTGATGTGGTTATACAGAGTGAAAAGGGATAAGAAAAGGCTGCTGGAGGCCTTTATCTGAGGAGAAAAGAGGATCCTTGAGTCCTGTCTTTTGTAGGATGATGGGGGAGGATCACAGTGGAGGAAGTGAGTCCCTTACCGCTAACCACCGCAGCTCAGGGGAAATAAACCAGCCAATAGAGGCACCAAGTGTCAAGAAGAAAGGATGTCAGATATAGAATGCCAGATATAGAATGCCACAGGAGTGCCCTAGAAGTTAGGAGGGAAGGAGGTAAGCACCTGAGAGAAACCATCTGATAGGAAGCAAGCTTTACAGTAGCTCATGGTTTCAGAGGCCTTTAGCCCATGGGTGTTTTGGGTGTGAGGCAGAAGAACATGCAGAGGCACATTGTTCACCTCACAGAAACAAACAGAAGAGCCATATGATAATCCCTTCTTCAAACACCCTCCCCAGCACCCAGCTGTCTACTTTCCTGACCACTTGCTGTCTCTCAGACCAATCAAGAATAACGTAGACAAGAATAACCATCATAAGCTCATCTCTTCTCAAGCTAACATTTTAAACATACCTGTTCAAGCCATAATTAATCTCCAAATGAAGAAAACAATGAAGATATTAACTCTTCCACATCTCCCCTGGTACACTAGACAAACTCAACTGTGAGCCCCTGTGAAAAGCAAGTTAAACACTTGCAGCATGTAATGACTCAGGATAAACATCGGCATTCCAAAAGGGAAGAGGAGACAAATGACAGGAAGGAATTGAACAGCTAGACCCAAACCCAGCAGCTAACAAAACCCTGTAGCCTTCTGTCCAGCATCTGGAGGAATGTGGCAGAATAACATGAGCTTCAAAGGTCCTGGGCAGTGTCCCCTGCAGCCTGGCCAATGGTAGCCCACGAGGTTTGCCTCTGAAGGCTGGAGCTTTAGTGGCTCGTATTCCTGTTCTTGCATCTGCTTTCCTGGCATCTCCATTTCATCTGTCTTCACCCTCATATTTTCACATACCTTGAGGGCTCCCCACAAACCAGTAGCACACAGACAGCACCAGTATGTGGCACCAGCCCAAGCAGTAGCTGGACCTCCTTGGGCCATAGCTACAGGAGCCTCTGGATGTCTAGGCAGCTGAGCCCAGCCAAATGATTTCTATGGAAACAACTTCCTAGGCATCTGTATGCATTCAGAGCACCCCAGCAGCCTTCTCTTTCCTGGGAAAGTCTTTCAGGTCAATTTACATTCTCACATCACTGAACCTACAATGAATAAGATCTTGCCGATTCCTGAGGTGCCTTCGAGGCATCTTGTACTTGTAACAAAGTACTTCTCTTCTGCTGGCGGCTTACTTTTTAGAAACCATGCCTTCCATAACTCAAACTTTTCATGGACTTTAAACCAAACTGCAAGGTTTTTATATCTTTCCACCCTGCCTCTACTCCCCATTCTAACTAGAAACCTGACCCAGAGCGACAGCCATGTCCATGCAATAGCCTGAATGGCGACTGTCTTAAAATTCCCTCTGCCAGATTTAAATAGAACCTAACATAAAGTCTTGGCATATGGACAAAATCTAACACAAGTGGCCGCTAGTCAGTTTCCAAGTAAATTCCTCATTTCCATTTGAAACCCCATGAGCGGTTTTTACTTTCCAGAGAGTATTATCCGAGCTCTTGTCATTAGTACCCCTTAAGCCCTGAGGAGAGAATTCTGGGGATGCTGACACATATCTCCAGACTCTTCCCACAAACTGCTTGTGAAGGCTTCTGGGCCTTGTAATCAGGTCATGAAGATATCGCCTCCACTGGTACCAATTTTCTGTTCCTTTGTAATCGGCCATGACAAGTGCTTGATTGGTTTCAGTTCACAGCTGCAGAGCCCGCTGACAGCTAAGTGTTGTTTCTGGGCTGTGGTGGAGAAGAGCGCCTTGGCAGGAGGGTGGGAAGAAGCTGCTTGCCCCTTGGCAGCCAGAAAGCAGACAGGCTGCAAGAGTGAGTGCTTGTCTTCTAGCTTCCACCCACCATCAGTCGGGACTGGGACTAACCATTACAGCCAGTGCTGGCATACACCTGCCATTCCCGTGCCCGGGAGGCTAAGACAGGAAGGTGCCTGGGCTCTATCACAAGTGCTGTCCCTAGATTAAATAAACAAGCAAGATTACGCATCTTAAGTCTGCAGCTGCCCAGTCACTCCTCACTCCCCAGGATGCTCTGTGGTGTTCCCTCACCCCTCTCATCACTACCTCATTAAGTAGCTTTCCATTGCCCCTACCGATGTAGCCTCCCAGTGTCAGTTGCTCTTGTGACACCCTCACTTGTAAAGCAAACCCTTCTCTCCCCAGCTCAGGGCCATCCTCTTCTTAACTACCCACAGGAGGTGTGGTAAGCTGTGACTGGGGCACTCATCCTAATTCCTAACATATCAATGGTAACTTCAAGTCCCTCAAAAGCCACTGCCCTGATAGCAACCTTAGTGTTGAGTCTGGCTTAACAGTTATTCCATGTGTCAGGGTCCATCCAACTACTTCATCTGTGACACGCAATCCTTGCCTGTGCCTTGAGGACCCCCCCTCCATGATGTACATGCCTTATCTTAAAATGAGCCTCTTCCAGGATGATGGAAGATAGGTTCGTTTAGGAGACGCTCTGGCTACGCTTGCCCCAGACTCCCACCCAACAGGGCAGAACCTGGAAAGTATAGTAGTAGCAGTTTGACCCTCGGGCTTTCTGGGCTTGGTGCGTTAAGTCAGCTTTCCACCACTCAGACAGATACCTAAGATAATCAAAGGACAAAGGGTCTGTTTCGGCTCACACTTCCACAAGTGTCGGCTCACAGGTACTTGGCTGTGTTCCTTTGGGCCAGTGGTGGTTAGTACAACATTAGAAGTCCATGGTAAGAGCAGGCTGCCCATTTCATAGTAGCCAGGAAGCAAGGAGAAAGGAAGGAGTCATGGCCCAGATAACCCCTTCAAGGGCATGCCCCCAATAACCTAACTTCCTTCCATTAGACCCCATCTCCTAAAGGTTCCACCACCTCCCAAAGTAGCACAGATTGGTTACCAAACCTTTACACATGGACCTTTGGGAGAACATTCTAGATCCAAGTCACAGCAGTTGGCTACCTCCTTTTGTTTGCCTCACCCCAGAGACACACTAATGCCAGAAAGTTTCACCATGTCTTCCTCATCTTAATTTAACACCTCCCAGCAAGGCTTTTAAAGTAATGCATAAATCACTTAAGAAAAACAAGCTAGTTTTCAAATGGAGTCTCAGTCCAGACTCCTGCAAACACCACACGTAATACTAAGTCCCTCGGTTGAGTGGTACCATGAGCCTCCCAACAACTAAACAGACCACCATGACCTGTCATAGCTCTCCTGATGACTTCCTCACAGACAGAAAGTGACTAGGAATGGGTAGAGACATCTCTGGCTGTCACACTAACACTAACACATGGCCTTTGGGCCAGAACCAACTATGCCCCACAGTCCGAAACCATCAAGAACAAAGAGTCACACATGAGAATTGTGTCAAAATACCAAGTCCCATGACCAGGGCCACTTAGGTGGTCTATCCAGAAGAAAGCAACAATCTGACTTTAAGGGTTACTGGAGACTACCTGGACCAGAAAACTGAGAGTTGCCTTGAGGTTAGTTTCTCACTCCAAAATATGATCATCTGTGTCTTTCCACTCCTCTTACGGCACTTAAGGAGGACTAAGGTGGTGCTCAGAGTGGGTAGGGGTGGCAGGCACAGCGTCTTCTGGACAGAAAGCAGCCCACATGGTGAGCAGCAGCCTCCCTTCACCAGCTCCCCTGGCACCAGCCATACCCTGAGCTGCTTTCTTGACTCCTCAGTGGGAGCCAACAGTGTGGTTTTACCTGTAAGTCCAATTCTCTCATGAAAATCAGACCCTTTACTCTGAAGTTCTCAAGAAGTGACCAGCACCCCAAAACCTCACAGCGCAGTTAAACCTCAAATTAGATGGTACTTTCAAAACAAACTGATCATAAGTATGTTTTAAACCTACCCAGAGCAGAGTGGGTATTTGAAAACCATGTATTTATCTTTCACAAGTAAATTGAGGTAGTGTGTGGAATTCATTATAAAGTAGTAAAATTAAATGGTTACATTTCACTTACAGCAAAGCAAATAAGTATCATTTTACTATGTGCTTCTGTGCACTCGAGGGAACTGCTGCCTGTCAATAAATGGTTTCTGCTCCATGGTCCTTTTATATCCATCTAAATGC